GAAGAAAAGGTAAGCACTGGTAATGTGTGGGATGTCCTCCCAGAAAAGAGCCTTGTTCCCTCTACTCTTCTCTCCTCCACAGCAGAGCCTGTGAAGATGATATGATAGAAAGGTGTGATGGTGACGAAGACGAGAAGCCCTACATCACGCTCCTCCCTGCCCACCCAGGGAGGCTCTGAGTGTGCAAGGGGAAGGGAGGCCCAGGCTGTGCTCAGGAGACCACCAACCCAGGGTAAGACCCTTCCCCTCTAAGCATTTCTGTTTCCTCCTCTGTGAAATGAACATGGGGGTTTCATTGGACTAAGTGGGCACTTCTTAGAGTGTGTTCTATGTTCCATGGTTATACAAGATTATCTGTGAAAGTGTCCTCATACAAAGAAGTATGTAAACCATCTTTCGCTATTTCTTTTTTTTTTGAGACAGAGTCTCACTCTGTTGCCTGGGCTAGAGTGCCACGGAGTCAACCTAGCTCACAGCAACCTCAAACTCCTGGGCTCAAACAATCCTTCTGCCTCAGCCTCCTGAGTAGCTGGGACTACAGGCATGCACCACCATGCCTGGCTAATTTTTTCTATATATTTTTAGTTGGTCAATTTATTTCTTTCTATTTTTAGTAGAGATGGGGGTCTCGCTCTTACTCAGGTTGGTTTCGAACTCTTGACCTTGAGCAATCCTCCTGCTTCTCCCAGAGAGCTAGGATTATAGGCATGAGCCACCGCACCCAGCCATCTTTTGCTATTTCTTGAAGACTCACAATACACAGGTTATTGAGGCACTGAGGAATGCTACAGAAAAGGAACCTGTTTCACTCTGATTAACCCTGATTTCCTAGAATCTGCCCTCTTTTTCAAAGAACATGCAAATATCCCAGAAGTCCTGGGGCATGCCTTAGGGGCTGAATCTTAGGCTCAGAAGGTTGGAATGGGCCCAGCCCCAACTCCCTCTGGGACAGGCATTGCTCAGGGATACAAAGGGATAGGTCCCCAAAACCATGACCCAGCCCCCCAGCCCCTACACCATTCCACCTTGCGTAATGTAGGCTGTTGTCAACCAGCCATCAGCAGAACAGTGCAAGAGGCTCTAACTCAACTGGAAGAGGATGGAGCCCCAGGAACAACTCACCCACCAGAGGTCCAAGGATTGAGAAAGGCCAGGACAGGGCAATGACAGCACAGGTTCAGCTTGCTGACCTCCCATTCCTCTCAGCCCCAGCACAGCGTTTCCTCTCCTCTGAGCATGTTCTCTGTGGGCACAGCACCCGGCACAAGCTGTAAGGACCTAGGACCTCTCACTTCCAGAGGGAGGACACCAGGAAACCTCACAAGAGAATGAAGTCTTCACCCTTTTCCAGAACCTACTGCCCCAGTGGCCTCCTTCACTGCCCACTGCCTCTGACCTAAGTCATCACCTCTGTCTGCCAGGCACCTTTCAGTGCCCCCAGAATGTCCAGCGCTGGACACTCACTGTGGTAGTGCACATGAGTGCAGAGTCACATGCTCAATCTTGTTACATTAGCACAGGGTTGGGAGAGACAGTGGGGCTCAGCAATCCCTCAAATTTCTCCCGCACACTTTATTTCAAATTTCAAAAAAATATTTATACTACTAGCTTTGTTTTGTCTTGCTAATGCCTCTGTATGGTAGACTGACCAGGGGCCATTCCTCTCATTTCCTACAGGGATAAAACTGAGACCAAGAGTGGTCAAGAGCCTGTCACGTAAGAAAAAGGGTCAGCTGAGACTAACAACACAGGTATAGGGCTCTTGGCCCTGAGCATGTCCCACCTTGCAAAAGGCTCTAGAAACATCCCCAGAAACTGGGGTGCATTTGGTTTCTCACACATGTGCTTAGCTTTCAGCCTGAGTCCATTGTATTTCTGTGAACAACTCTCAAGTCCCTCCCTAAGAAAATTCTCCTGAGAAAAGAGTGCCCTCCGGTGGCTTTCCTGGGTGCTACATCAGTGCCCTCCAAAGGGATGAGTGGGAGAAAAAGTCCTCAACCTTCTCAGAAAAGAAAAGTGACCCTAGGGACCTACCTCACCACCACAAGCCATAAGTCTAGTCCATCTTCCATGGGCAATAGGGGAGGAGGAATGAGGGTTTCTCAGAGGCCCTTTCAAATTCCACTTCCTTCAGGATAACATTCAAATTCTTAGTCTTTGTTCACTCCACAAACATATCTCCTTGTTGCCATAAGCAAGACTATGCCGCTGGTGGAACCAAGGGGCCACGATGCCCCAGAGGTGCTGCCAGCTCATCCAGGAAGCCCAAGGCTGTTCTCTGCCCCAGCCTGATTCCCAGCCTCCAGGGGCCAATGGGCTCCCTCTTCATAACCTCTCTACAATACCTTTTGTTTGTTTGTTTGTTTTTTAAAGAGCAACTGGAGAAAGGAGGAAAATCTTGAGAGTGGTGTCCTGAAAATCAAACAAAGCCAATGTTTCCAGAAGGGAGTGGTCAAGTATGCAATGCTGTTAATGGGTGGCTGCTGGGAAGTAAGGTAAAGACTGCAAATTGGTCACTGGATTCAGCAAAATGAAGGTCCCAGCTACTTGGGAGGCTGAGGCAGAAGGATTGCTTAAGCCCAGGAATTTGAGGTTGCTGTGAGCTAGGCTGACGCCCTGCACTCTAGCCCGGGCACTCTGTCTCAATAACAACAACAACAAAAGAAACAGAATGTAACCAGTTCCTAAAAGTCCCCCTCATGGCCCCTTGCAATTGCCACACTCCTGAAATGTAACCAGTACACTAATTTCTTTTTTTTTTTCTTTTTGTTTGTTTGTTTTCAGAGTCAGGGTCTCACTCTTTTGCCCAGGCTGGAGTACAGTGACCCGATCATAGCTCACTGTAACCTCGAACTCTTGGGTTCAAGGGATCCTCCTGCTGCAGCCTCCTGAGTACCTGGGACTACAGGTGCCCACCACCATACCTGGCTAATTTTTAAAATTTTTTTGTAAAGAAAGGGTCTTGCTGTATTGCCCAGGCTGGTTTTGAACTCCTACTCTCAAGGGATCCTCGCACCTCAGCCTCCCAAAATGCTGGGATTAAAAGTGTGAACCATGGAGTCTAGCCCCGAACTTCTATTACCAAGTATTAAAAAGTAGGACTTCTCATTTTTAAAAAGTTTTATGTCCATGGACCCAGAATATCTTCTTTTGTATCTGGTTTCTTATGTTCAACATGGATTGTAAGACTCATCCATAGTATGGGTAGCACTCTTTTCCTTTTAATTGTTGTATGAAAGAACCACTTTTTATTTACCCATTCTATTGCTGATGAGCATGTAGTTGTTTTTTGTTTGAGGCTAAAATGAATAATGTGGCTATAAACATTCATGTATGTGCCTTTTGGTGCACTTATCAACCATACCATAGCTTCTGTGCAATCTTTTCCCTTCCCAGAACCTTCCTGTGGCTACTTTCGTGGCTACTCACATTTTGGCCACCTTCAGTGACTCTCCTCCGTGCACCTCTGAACCACAATCTCAGCCACTCCACTCCCTCTTGTGATTTCTTCACCAGCCCCAGCTTCATGGCCCTTTCCTACTATATCCAGTTATCAAGGCTGGTACTCTCCAAATAACTCTCCTAAAACTCTGCTTGCACACCCTCAATGGGCATTACCATCTTCATCCTAATTAACCTCAAATTTCTCTCCTGAGTGCCAGCCCCAGACAATCCACAAGTACAAAATTGATCTCATCAAATTCCTCCAAGAACTGTGCTGGCAATTGTTGAAATACTATCATCTACCCAGATGCTTGAGTCATTGCCTAGGAATCATTCTAGACTCCTCCCTTCTCCCTACCCCCCTACTATCTTAACTCTCCAAAATCCAATGAGTCCTATCTCCTTCATGGCTTACAAGGTCATTCCCTTTTTCCTGTCTCTGAGGTTCCTGCCTTGGTTCAGGATCTCCCAGACTGTTGCGATAGCCCCTTCCTCAGGCCTCCCCACTCTCCCCCATCAACCCACCCAGCAGCAAATCAGATCCTGTTATCACACACTCTCCACACCCTCCACTGTCCACAGGATGAGGCCAAGCCCTTCAGCAAACTCTAAGCCCTTCAAGAAGTGGTTCCCTTCCTCCCACTTGGGTCCCTCACAGCCACTCCCATGTGCCAATTCTAGAACCAACTAGAGCAACTCAGGAGTAGCTCCTAGAAAGTGCAGCGTCCCTTCTTACCTCCTGGCTGCTGAGGGCTCTTTTCTCTCCTTAGCTTGCCTTCTCACCCCACCTGCAAACTCCCTTTCTCCAGCAACCCACGAATTCTAGCTTCAACAGCTTTAATCTTTAGGAGTCCTCCTCCATCTCCTCCAGCCGGAATTCCCCTCACTGCTGGTCCAGGTGCCCACCAGCTCTCCACAAAGGGCAGCCATTATCATGGTGATGATTCTATCATTAAAGGATCTTTATGCTTAGCAGACAAGAGCTCCCTGAGGGCAGGAATTATGGCATTTTTATTTCAAGCACTGAGTTTGTTGTTCTGGCAAGCACTGAATAAATAGGTGTTGGATGAATGAATGCAATAATAATATTGAGCCAAGTATTAAACTACACAAAACAGGAGGAGAGGAAAGAAAGTTTTCAGAGATGTGACAGGGGAAATATCTTAAGGGGTGGGGGGAGGGGCACAGACCATGAGTACCATGTGAACTGTAACTGCAGGGAGAGGCCTAAATAACCTGGGGTTTTTGGAGGGAGGCGGGTTCCCTCACTTGGGAGCAGAAAAGGAGATGATTCAAGAGAGGGAAGTGCCTCACAGGGTTTGGGACCAAAGGTTTGGGGCTTCTGCCTGCCAGTCATGGCTTTTCTAATTTTATAGGTTGCAACTAATAAGTGCACCTATGGATCTCCTATAAAACCATTGTAGGAGCCACCACTGGTGCAGCGGCTATAAAAGTAAACGCAGTCACCTACAAAATGGGGATAATTCCTCTGTCATAGAGTTGTAAAGATTAAATGAATACAGATAATTCACTTGCCACATAAGCACTACGTAAACTTTAGCTATTATTTTATTTATTAGTATTGCTCTCTAGGAGCTTTCAGTAGTGTAAGAAAGAGCGAAAAAGAAGGATATTATTCAAAGAGCATACAGTAAGAGCTACGATGGAAGTGAGCAAAGAATACTGAAGCCCACAACACAAGCCATATTGCAGGGTTCAAGTTCAGTGTGGCCGGCACAGCACGCAGGGGCTGTTAACGCTCCAGAGTTGGGCCCCCGGTGATCGGAAGTTCAGTCCTGGGAGTCATTCAGTTCCCTCCCTCAAGAAAATGCGGCCTGGAAGCCTGGGGCAGAAGAAAGGGGTCCACAGTACTCCATATTTACAGGCCGAGCAAGGCTTGATCCGGCCAGCCCTCTTGAGGACTGGACGGCATCTCTGGCCTCCACAGTCCCTCAGGGCATGGGGGCGGGGCGGGTGGCGATGCCGCGGTGCCCCCAAGCGGGTAGAAGACTGAACGGTTGCGCGCGGTGGGAACTACGCTCCCCAGCATGCAACGGGGCAGAAGGGGTCTTTTCAGCCGCGACCAGCGCCTCGCAAGTTCCGCTGGGAGTTTTCATTGACCTCTGAGCCCCCTCTCATTTCGACCTGCTCCCGTCTCCTCTAGGCTCCGCCCCCTTCAGTGAGCGGGTGACCTCGCAGAGTCCCGCGAGCTGCTTCCTTCTCTCCCCCCTTATTGGTCCAGCCTGGCTGCCATTCCGGTGTGCGGGGGACAAGTTGCTTACTGATTGGTGGATTCCGTTTGGCGCCAACTAGGAAAGGGGGCGAGGTAGCGGCGGATCCTAGTGAGCAGCTATTACCGCGAAAGGCCACCGCGCCTGCGACATCCCGGGAGGGAAGTCGGGGCCGGCTCTGTTCTCTGCGACCCTGGGCTAGGCAAGGGGGTGAGAGAAAAGCGAAGACAGTGTGAGCCTGGGCCGTTGCCTCGCGGCTCTCGCCCGCTCTCCCTTCTCGACCTGCCGGGCTTGTTTGGATTTAATCTTCAGGTTGCCGGCGCCCGCCCGCCGGCCTCGCGGAGTGCGAGGGAAACACCCGTGCTTGTGGCTGGCGCCTGACGGGTCCAGACACCCGCCAGTACGCGCCACTTACCCGTGGCAGCCGCGTCCCGGAACCGCGGGGTGGTGTTTGTGTTTGACCCGCGGGCGCCGGCGGCGGGTCGCGCGGCCGAGGCCGGTGCTGGCGGGGCGGGGCGGGCGCTGCGGAGGCGGAGGAAGAGGGAGCGGGAGCCCTGGGAGGCCCGGCGCCGCCATGGAACTGGGCCCGGAGCCCCCGCACCGCCGCCGCCTGCTCTTCGCCTGCAGCCCCCCTCCCGCGCCACAGCCGGTCGTGAAGGCGCTGTTTGATGCGCCTGCCGCCGGGACACAGTCGCCTGTCACCAACCTGACGGTCACCATGGACCAGCTGCAGGGCCTGGGCAGGTGAGGAGGGATCACCAAGCGGTGCCTCGGGCCGCTGGCCTCCCCGTCGGCCCTCGGGGAGATCAGGTCTGGAAGAGGATCGAGAGAAGGGCTAGGACTGCCCGTCCGGCTTCGCTGCTCGAAGGGAGCCAAGCTGGGGCCCGCCATGTGCACCCTCCCCCCGGGCGGAATGTTGGGCGGGCGAGGCTGTCGGACCCTCTTAGGCTGCCCTCAGCCCGAACCAGGCCCACCTTCGCCTCCCCTTTCGCATTTCTCCATACTCTCCTGTCTCTATCCCAGGAAGCTCTTTGGAATTTATCCCCACGGGAGAGAATTAGGCCTTCCTAGGCGCCCACTTCCACCCTTTCTTTGCTAAACCACCTCGCAGGATCTTAGTTTCCTGTGATCTTTGTTCCTTCTCAACAAAGGGACATGGCGTTTTCTTTCCTGGCGTTTGTGCAAAATCATCTCAATCCCTGCCCCTTGCACATTCCTGACGTCTACCTGGTTCCTTTCCTGAGGCCAGGGCTTTTTACTCAACTTAACATCCTTGAAAGACCTATAGCAAAAAAAAAAAATGCTTCGCCTAGTGTTTCTGGCGAAGCTGCTTTCCCTTCAGTCTTGGACATCCCATTTTCTAAGCACATGTCTTATGCATTTTCCATCCTCTGAAAAGCAGGAATGGTTCTGTTCATCTTTGATCCCCACTTCTAGCACACTACCTAAAACACATGCTCTCATTTCAGGAAATACAGCAACATTTGCCATAGTCATTGAATCCTACAGTGTAACCCAGGGCTATGCCCACGCACTCCTTCCTCTTGTTTGTCCGAGTGCCAGTGGGGTGTTCCTGGTGGTAAAGTGGGATCTGTGGTGTGGCCTGGAAGGTTTGTAGAAGCCTGGCTACTTGTTAACTTCATGGCCTGTCCCTTGTATGTGACCTTTTAATTATGTCTTAGAAATCATTTATATGGGATTATTTCTCTTGTTTCAGTGAGTATGAGCAGCCACTGGAGTTGAAAAACAACAGCAATCTGCAGAGAATGGGTTCCTCCGAGTCAACTGATTCAGGTAATTCTCTTAGTCTTCATGTATTATGTGTCTGCTTTGTGGGGAGCAATACTAGGAATTTCCTAAAACATGCCCTTTCACCCAGGAGCTTAGTTTTGGTAAGTAGTTGAAACAGTACACATTAGGACTGGGTGCGGTGGCTCACATCTGTAATCCTAACTCTGGGAGATGGGAAGATAGATTGAGGCCAGGAGTTTGAGACCACCCTGAGCAAGAGAAAGATCCCATCTCTACTAAAAATAGAAAAAATTAGCCAAGCACATGTACCTGTAGTCCCAGCTACTCAGGAGGGTGAGGCAGGAAGATCACTTGAGCCCAGGAGTTTGAGTTTGCAGTGAGCTATGACACCACTGCACTCAAGCTAGGACAACAGAGCAAAACTGTCTCCAAAAACAAGAAGTCATGCCATTGAGTGACAAACACCATTAAGAACAGTACAAAGGGACCTCTATAGCAAATTATGAAGAGAGGAAATAGGTATCAAGTGTCTGTAAGGAAGTGACATGTGCTTGCTCTTTTTCTTTTTTTTTGAGGCAGAGTCTTACTCTGTTGCCTGGACTAGAGTGCTGTGGCATCAGCCTAGCTCACAGCAACCTCAAACTCCTGGGCTCAAGTGATCCTCCTGCCTCAGCCTCCCGAGTAGCTGGGACTACAGGCATGCGCCGCCGTAATTGGCTAATTTTTTTCTATATATTTTTAGTTGGCCAGTTAATTTGTATTTATAGTAGAGATGGGGTCTCGCTCTTGCTCAGGCTGGTTTTGAACTCCTGGCCTTGAGTGATCCACCCGCTTCAGCCTCCCAGAGTGCTAGGATTACAGGCGTGAGCCACCGCGCCCAGCCTGTGCTTGCTCTTAAAGGATGAGTAGTAGAGTAGAATTTACCATACCATTGTAAGTGGCATTCAGAAAATCTTACTGGTTAAAATACAGGGTCAAATTACTGGAAGTACAATATAAGGAAGTCATTCTTGTGATTTTGCTATGAAGAAAATGTGCCAGTGCATATCATTCTTCATAAATTCATGCTACTGCTGAGTTTATCTGTATTTGCACAGATAAGAGCTTTGGACAGCCTGGGCAACATAGACCTGTGTCTACAAACAAAGTTAACAAAGACACAAGACCCCACCATTACACATTAGCCAGGTGTAATGGTGTACCCTGTAGTCCCAGCTACTCAGGAGGTTAAGGTGGGAGGATTGCTTGACCACAGGAGTTTGAGGCTATGTTAAGCTATCTATGATCATGTCACTGTACTCCAGCCTGGGCACAGAGAGAGACTGTCTCTTTAAAAAAAAAAAAAAAACATTGGGGCAAAGATGCTTTAGATTAGGGAACTGCAAGAGCAAAAGCCTTAATATAATGTAGGCTTCTGTATACAGAATGTAATATAATGTGAAAAGTAATATAGAACTGGGGATAGGATTCCTGTTTGTGGCAGTATAGCAGGCAGGAATATCAGTTAGGAGCTCTGACATCTGACTTTCTGTAAGGCTACATAGACAGGGAGAGGTGTGAACTAGGTAGACACTGGTGGGTCTGGGCCAGTCTGAGCTGGCATATAGTAATGCTGACCAGTGTCTCCTGTACCCTGCTGCCTTTGATGTCATTTTGTTAAAGGCTGTAAATACTTACCTTGCATGTCTTATAACTAATAGTTGTATTTTTCAAATCCTCAAATTGCACATCCGATCTCTGACAAGGTAATATATTTGAAATCAAAACCATTCCAGGAAAATCTGGTACCTATTCTTTCCATTGTTGAAACTCACAGAAAGTTATCTGGATCACCTCTGAATAACCAAATAATCATGATATGAAGCAGTTTTATTTACCATCTTCTCAAATCCTATTTCCCTTAATGATATTTGCAAGTAGAAGGGGGTTAGTAAATAGACTCTGAAAATATTAAGACTTGTCAAACTTAGTTTGTGACAATCAAATAGAGACTTGACTTCAATTTCTGGCCAAATTGTAACAAGCCATAAGTCTTTGTTGGCTGACTTAAAGAAAAAGTTCTAGTATCTTTATTTTTAATGAGAAAATAGTGTTTTATACATTATTTCCTGAGAAGATTTTTCTTTTTTTTCCCCACAGGTTTCTGTCTGGATTCTCCTGGGCCCTTAGAAAGTAAAGAAAAGTATGTATTCACTGCCTTTAAATGTTTGTACTTAGAAAAACTTTTCTTAATTTTCTAATGAAATTCTTCATACTCTGGACTGTATTCTTGGATTTTGGCTGTCCCTAGTAAGACTTCTGGATTCTAGAAACTCTGGTATCTTGAGAATGAGTAGGTATTTATTTATTTATTTTTTGAGACAGAGTCTTGCTTTGTTGCCCAGGCTAGAGTGAGTGCCGTGGCGTCAGCCTAGCTCACAGCAACCTCAAACTCCTGGCTGGGATCAAGCAATCCTACTGCCTCAGCCTCCCAAGTAGCTGGGACTACAGGCATGCGCCACCATGCCCGGCTTATTTTTTCTATATATATTAGTTGGCCAATTAATGTCTTTCTATTTATAGTAGAGACGGAATCTTGCTCTTTCTCAGGCTGGTTTCGAACTCCTGACCTCGAGCAATCCGCATGCCTCCCAGAGTGCTAGGATTACAGGCATGAGCCATCATGCCCGGCCGAGAATGAGTAGTTTGTGTTAGCAGTTTTCAGAACTTCCTCTTCCTTTATTTTCTTTGTATTCTGTTTGCATCTCAAACTCTTGCTCTACCCTCTGACATTATAGTGAATGTGGATATTTTAAGAGAAGACCTAGGTTTGCTTTTTCACTTAGAAGCCTAGTGTTGGGGGTGTTCCCGAGAGCAGGGCAGGTTTAGAAATTTAGTCTTCCATCTCTTGGATAAAATGGGAGTCTGTTTGACTGCTCCCTGCCCTCCACCTCCGAACTATAGGCTAAACACTATGCATCTGCTGTTATGAATGTCTCTTTACATGCTTTATTCTCATTATTTACCTTCTGATCTCATTACAGCTTTGAAAATCCCATGAGGAGAATAAATTCCCTACCTGTAAGTTAGTTCCCTTATTTATTTTGAGCTCATACCTGTTATTTATTCCTTGGCTACCAGTGTGACCTTGATAGGAGACCTTAATTTGAGAGTAAAAACTGATTTTCCTTAGTCTCATAAACACTCAAGATACTCTACCTAGAGCAACTTCAACAATGGCTGCCTCTTGAATTGTTTTCTATCTCTGTTTTATGAAACCAGGAAGAGTTCTTTTTATGTAGATGTTATTTTGGGGTTAATTTGGCACTATAATCCCTGCTGAGAAGGCTGTAGACCATGGGAGGTTAGGTGTAAAGCCATGGAGTGAGAACCCTTCTATCCTGTGTTCTGGCAAGGTGGTGCTCTGGCCACATTTACTGGTGTGTGTGAGGGACAAGACCCCCACCCCATATTTTTTCTTTTGAGAACTGAGATTTCTGTTGAATTTTTTACTCATGTACCTTAATTCCCTTTTTTTTTCACTTTGACAGCAGAAGCTTTTGGGGTGTAGCCCAGCTCTGAAGAGGAGCCATTCTGATTCTCTTGACCATGACATCTTTCAGCTCATTGACCAGGATGAGAACAAAGAAAATGTGAGTGTGTCATAAATGTACTAATCTGGGGCTGAGGTGAAACCTGCAAGTGTCAATGGCTTACAGAGAAGTAGCTGGGCTGCTTTCTGGGAGACTAAACTTTAGCCAAAGTTGTGCATGGACTTTGGAGTCAGAAAAATCTGGATTTGAATCCTTCTTCTTATCCTGGCAAGTTACTTCTCTTTTTAGGCCTCTTTATTTCTTTTGTAAAGTAGGAGTAGCTGTACCTTTTGGAGATATTGTGGGGATTAAATAAGATTCTGTAAATAAAGCATTTACAATGGTGCCTGGCAGTCAAGAGTTGCTCGGATGGTAGTTCTTAGGAGTAATTATATCCATGAATGATTTAGCTTATCTGGAAGGTTCTGCCCAGGTTTTTCTTGCCTCTTTGCTCTGACCCTGAGGAGAATTGTAAGCTCAAGAAAATGCTCCTTGGCAGTATTTGAAAGAACAGGGCCAAGAAGTTCTAGGAGTCTCAGAGTAACTGAAATGGTGGCTTAAAGGGTGAGTTTGTGGTGTCCACCCAAAAGTCCAAATACACCCTGTCCTGGCTTTTCCTCTTAGAACTGACAGGTGCCTTGCACAGAGTAAATATCCAAAATAGTTGAATAAATTAGCTTAGCTTTTCCAGCCCTCTCTCTCACTATATTTCCATGTTTATTTTCTCCCTTTTCTTTTCCCTGCTAAAATACCACAGTTCATAAACCTCACAGTGATTTTCCAGACTTAGTATAAAACCTGCTGCCTCCGTGGACTCTCCTGAAGATTCCTTTGGCAACTTGGGAGATGTCATGAAGGAGAATATGGAAATGAGTTCCTGCCTTGAGTGCTTGGAACAGTGCATCAGCCTCTGCAGTGCTTTCTACCAGGCCAAAGCTCTACCCATGTCTGGTTCTTCCCCAAACTTGGCTTCTCCCAGAGTTGCCTGCCTGGAGCTTTGACAACGGCCTAGGTGGTGTTTAAGAGCTCTCACCCTGGAATCATCTTGTCTGGCTTCAATATTTTGAGCACATCACTTAACCTGTATTTTCTAGTTTCTTCATCTGTAAAATGGGCACAATCAGGTTGTATTTGATAGTTAAATAAGTTAATACACAGAAAGTATTTATTACTGTGTTGGCATATAAATGACTAATATGAGCTGTTACTGCTTTTAGCACTTAGTAATAAGTTTTTAAATGGATATTTTAGGGTGGGGGGCATGAGTGCTTTTGAACTTTTAAGTACGTGCAATCATACAGTATGTATTCTATCCCATCTGGCTTTTGTTCAACTCTGTGTTTGTAAAAATCATCTATGTTGAGTAAACCAGTAGAGTTTTTTTTTTTTTTTCATTGCTTTAGTATGCAATACAATAACAATTTTAAGTAGGAAAAATTATCTCCAATTGGTAGAAGTGGAAAATATGAAACCTTTATACAGGTAGATCTAGATGGAGAGTTTTAAATTCTATTCACAGGCAATAATATTGCTTTAGATTTTATTTATTTTTTTGCTTTAGATTTTATAAAGTTTGTGATTTAATTTATCACTCATTTTGTTTTGTGTGCTTGGCAGATGCTCATGTGTTGTTAGGAAATAAAATGTGATAAGGAAAAAAGGCGGCTTTAGAAGTTAGCTGTTGATAGAGCTTTGGAAATTCTTTTTTTTTTTTTTTTTTTGAGACAGAGTCTCACTTGTTGCCCAGGCTAGAGTGAGTGCCGTGGCGTCAGCCTAGCTCCAGCAAACCTCAAACTCCTGGCTCAAGCGATCCTCCTGCCTCAGCCTCCTGAGTAGCTGGGATACAGGCATGCGCCACCGTGCCGCTAATTTTTCTATATATATTAGTTGCCAATTAATTTCTTTCTATTTATAGTAGAGATGGGGTCTCGCTCTTGCTCAGGCTGGTTTCGAACTCCTGACCTTGAGCAATCCGCCCGTCTCGGCCTCCCAGAGAGCTAGGATTACAGGCGTGAGCCACAACGCCCGCCTGGAAATTCTTAAACAGATCCAGTGTTGGAATCAGATAAAAATAGGTGAGCCCTTGTTTGGAGGCAGTTACTTTCTCACCCAGATTAGAGCAGAGAGGCCCTAGAGCTGGTTTTCATGGACAGTAGACTATGTCTCAACTATACTGTCTTGCAGGAGCCTTTGAGTTTAAGAAGCCAATAAGACTGCATCTCGTGGTCTCTGCACTCTCATGGACTTGAGGGGTAAAGATCTCTTCACACAGAGGCAGAACTCTGCCCCAGCTCGGATGGTATGTGCTGGCTTTCACGGGGTGTTTCTCACAGGAAGAGAGGATTTTTTTTTTAATTACTTAAATAATTTATTTCTATATTTTTTAGCCTTGATTTTTGGTAAAAGGAAGAAAGGATTAAAGCACCCTCTTTAATCCAGTTAAAGACACTACAGTAACTCTGTCTTTACCTTGACTTTGTCTTTTTTTTTTTCTTTTTTGTCTTTTTTAACTAGGCTATTAAATATCCTTGGTGGTTTTGCTGTGTCCAGAGAGCAGGCAGGCAGAAGCAAAAGTGGAAGATAATGTGTTTGAAATACTAGACTTGTTTTAGGAATATTTGACCTTGTCAATTCTAGGAAAATAATCTGCTGGCATCATGGGTTATCCTCCTTAATTAACATTTGCTCTTTTTTTTTTTTTTTTTTTTTTTTTTGAGACAGAGTCTCGCTTTGTTGCCCAGGCTAGAGTGAGTGCCGTGGCGTTAGCCTAGCTCACAGCAACCTCAAACTCCTGAGCTCAAACGATCCTACTGCTCAGCCTCCTGAGTGGCTGGGACTACAGGCATGCACACACTGCTAGCTAATTTTTTCTATATATATTTAGTTGGCCATTAATTTTTTCTATTTATAGTAGGATGGGGTCTCGCTCTTGCTCAGGCTGGTCTCCAATTCCTGACCTCGAGCAATCTGCCTGTCTCGGCCTCTCAGGTGCTAGGATTACAGGTGTGAGCCACTGTGCCCAGCCAACACTTGCTCTCATAATGTGTCCTAGTGCTTCCCAAAGAGTAATATTGTTTGGAGACTGCACTTGGCTTCTTCCAAAGGTATTATATTAAGAAGTATTATGGATTCCAGTGAACCTACTGCCTATAGGCTGCTTTGGCAGTTTGGGAGCCATTTGTTTCAGGGCTGTTTATTTGCCAGTCATTACTTCCAAAGTTTCCTAGTATTGTCTGAATTGGATCAACTGACAGATCTATAGACTAGAGAGGCTCAACTTGAGCAAATGAGCATATTTGATTTCCAGGTTTCCTAGGAACTTGAATCTGAAAATATACCTGGTCTGGCTTGTGTCTGAGGTTCAGTTTCTTTCTTTTTTTTTTTTTTTTTTGAGACAGAGTCTCACTCTGTTGCCGGGTAGAGTGCTCTGGCGTTAGCCCAGCTCACAGCAACCTCAAACTCCTGGGCTCAAGCATCCTCCTGCCTCAGCCTCCCGAGTAGTTGGACTACAGGCATGCACTACCATGCCCACTAATTTTTTCTATATATTTATAGTTGGCCAATTAATTTCTTTCTATTTTTTAGTAGAGATAGGGTCATGCTCTTGCTCAAGCTAGTTTCGAACTCCTGACCTTCAGCAATCTTCCTGCCTCGGCCTCCCAGAGTGCTAGGATTATAGGTGTGAGCCACCGTGCCCGGCCTTGAGGTTTAGTTTCAATCAGCTTTGCTACTCTGTCTAGCACAAAGCATTTCTATATATGTTCTTGTCTTGAATCTTCATAAGCCTGTGAAGTAGCTGGAGTTACTCCATTTGGCAGATTAGGAAAGTACTGTCAGAGAGGTTGGGTGATTTGCCAAAGGACACATAAATAGGAGACCAGGATGTAACAATCTAGATTCCCAAGTACACACTAACACTTTTAAGAGTTTGTTATCAGAAACCAAATACCTTTAGTGTGTGCACGGAGACCAGAGGCCTGGCATTTCCTGTGATCACTTGGCCACTCCTAATTATAGGGGCTGAGGATGTAAACTGAGAGAAAGCCAGTGCTGATCTCACTGGTTTGGTTTTTGATCACATCAAAGGGTATTTCTTTTGTATCTTTGCTTTTAGTCTCTAAGCCACCACCTATCTGTTTTCTTATAATGCCTTCTTGGTATAGAAACCATGGAGGAAGAATTAGGTACTGTCAAGAGACGTGTCTGTCATTTTTCTATATCATGTCTGTACCTGGGGATCCCAGAACATACCTCACAAAAGTTGATATAACATAGTGTGAGGCTTCATGATAAAGTTACCTATCTTTAGGCTCTCTTGGCCAAAAAATTGCTAGTTTTCCAGGGTGTGTTCAGATGCATTTGGGGAAGATCAGAGACAGCCCAGAGCTTGTTTTATACTGTGAAGCAAAGCTAGTGCCAGAAAACCAGAGGGCCACTTGAGGACTAATACATTCATATCCAAAAGAGATTTGGAGCTTAAGGGTGATTTGTAATGTTTAATGTGGAAACCACCTTGTTACTGTGAAAAAAATAGTCTCTAAACTTCTTTTCCTGGCTTTGGAAAGTGCCTGGGAGAGAAATGATAAAATATTAACAGTGTTTGTATTAGTAGTATTTACCTCTAGATATGGATTTATAGGTAGTTTTTCTAAATTTTCTATATTGCATGTTAGTTTTATAATGGAGGTTTCCCAAAAATACATATATAGGATTGACTAATGAGGTACCACCATTTTTATTCCAGGAATGATTCTCTAGTAGAGAGATGGTATAGTGGGGAAAAGAGCTTAGGTTTTGGAGTTAAACAGGTGAGGTGTGTGATCTTGGTAACCTCTCTTAAGCATAAGTTTCCTGATTTGTTAAAGAAAGAGAAAAGGGTTAACTACCTTAGTGTATTGTGAGACTTGAATGGGACTATATATATATATATATATATATATATATAAAATCACAGTGTCTGGCACATAGTAATTCCTAATATAAAGACTGAGCAGCTGTCATTTAATTTTCAAATCTAAAGAACTAGGATGGACTTTGTAGAATTAGGCCACCCTTTATTTCCCTCTGTCAGAACTGAAGTTACATAAGCATTCTCTAGGTCATTTTATGTTCTCCATAGAGACTTGCATTTTCTAACCCTTCCTCATTTCAGTGGATTATCATGCTATTACAATCCTCATGTTGATTGGTGTTCACTGATAATAACCTGATAAAAGTAACCTTGTTCTTTACAGGAAGCTATTCCCAGTTCCCATTGTAAGTTGAATTGCTTCTGGGAAGAGTTCTTTGTGAAGGCTACTTGGCCTAACTGTACTCAGGGCTTTGTGTGGGTATCAAATCATTTGTAAATCTTGGGATACATTTTCCTTTGATCAGTAGCTGCTAAAATTTTACTTTGTGTAACAAATATAACATAGTATGTTTTATCGTAAAAACTACAGTGACCCATTCAATGAAGTGAAAGTGGATCAGAGCTCTCATTTATTAATAAGCCATAAATTCTGTCTTACAGTTTTCTTCAAATGAAAGAGATAGCGGTGAACCAGGGAATTTCGTTCCTCTTTTTATGCCCCAGTCACCTGGGACAGCCACTTTGTCTGATGAGGACGATGGCTTCTTGGACCTTCTCGATGGGGACAATATGAAGGTACTGTGTGTGTGTGTGTTTTCCTATCCATTCTAACTACCCCTGGAGAAGTCATATGTTGTGAAAAAGAGCAGCAATTCCCCAGGGCTTCAGCTGGCTGATATTTTTGTTCATTTGGTGAGAATGTATTGGGTTTCTGCTCCTAGCCTTACTAAATCTTGAGGGGGGCAGTGGTGTTAAAAGAAGACATTGATATGATCTTTCTTATCTTGAAGAAGCTAACAATATATATTATGTGCAAGAGACATGAAATGAAAACAGTGTAAAACTAGCTGCCAAGTGGCATGAAGCCGAAGGGACTGAGGGTACTTACATGTCCTCAGCAGGGATACCTTCAGCTCTGCTCGACATCAGAGCTGTTAAGTCTGATTATCTTCTAACCTTATGGCTGTAGAGAAGTAGGGGTACATTATTATACTTTCTGTCCATGCCTGTCTGGTATTCTTTAGGAAGAATCACACCTCAAGCATTTTAGCTAATGTTAGTCTTTGCTGGATCTTTTTAAAACCAGTTTTCTTTCTTTAGAATGATGAGACCCCATCGTGCATGGCAAGCCTCTGGACAGCTCCCCTTGTCATGAGAAGAACTACGAACCTCGTAAGTTGTTCTGGTGTATCTGGAGGGGACCTTGGGTACTCAGGCCACTGGTTAGAGTAGTCTTTAGCTGGGAACAGCCAAAGGTTGAAAGGAATAATAGAGCTCAAGGACCTGGGGTTTAGACCTCACCTTGGACTACCTATAAACTGTGACCTTGAGGGATGTGTTCCATCTCTGCATGTTTCTAATCTATAAAGTGAGTGTGGATTAGGAGGGACCATGGTTCTTTTCAGCTCATATGAAGCCTTCAGCCTGAAGACTTAGCTTTTTTAGGTCATTCTCACTTATTTATATTCCATAACACCTAGCATAACACTTGACAAGCAATGATAACTCAAGGATGTTTGTATTTCTTAATTGAAAATAACCATCTTATCTGTATATACTATAGACTTGACATTTCCATCATAGGGATACTTTCAAACAGAAAGTTAGAAAAGCAAGAATATGCCTGCACAGGTATACATTTTCATGTATGCAAATGCCTGGGGAACATTAGATATTGTCACAATACAAATTCAGAGTGATACACTTTTAGGTATACAGAAATTTATAGCTTTGTGCTTTGTATTTCTTTTCTTTTCTTTTCTTTTCTTTTCTTTTCTTTTCTTTTCTTTTCTTTTCTTTTCTTTTCTTTTCTTTTCTTTTCTTTTCTTTTTTCTTTTTTTTTGAGACAGTCTCACTCTGTTGCCCTTGCTAGAGTGCCATGGCGTCAGCCTAGCTCACAGCAACCTCAAACTCCTGGGCTCAAGCGATCCTTCTGTCTCGGCCTCCCGAGTAGCTGGGACTACAGGCATGCATCACCACGCCCAACTAATTTTTCTGTTTTTAGTAGAAATGTGATCTTGTACTTGCTCAGGCTGTTCTCGAACTCCTCAGCACAAACGATCCGATCTGCTCGCCTTGGCCTCACACGGTGCTAGGATTACAGGTGTGAGCCACCGCGGCCGGCCATAGCTTTGTATTTCTAACTATCAATGATCTGAACTCTAAATATAAATATGAGACAAATGAACTACAATGTTGAGGCCACTTATGGATTATAGTAGATTAATGTATATAGTTTTGAGAAAGTAGGTAACTGAATACAAATATTATGACTGAATTTACCAGATCATTTTAAAAGACATGAAATTATATACAATGTGAGAACGCTATCAGTTTTATAAACTGGATTTAAAAAATCATGAGCAGAGTCCTGTGGGCCCTTAACAATAAGGAATTTCCACAAATAGTTATTGCAGACTTACCATTGCAGGGAGCTGTGTTGGAAGATAAACTTAAGAAAAATAAGAGGGAGAAAATCCCTGGTTCCTGGGAGAACAGATATAGGAGTGATGAATTCCACTGAGAACTATCAGGAACATTTCAAAGAAATGACAGTGACACTGAAATTTTAGTATCAGCTTGAAAATGAATGATTTACTGGAATATGAAAGGACATTCTGCACAGAAGGAAAAGCCAGGCCAAGAATACAGTGAGTCATGAACAGGCCAAGATGAGTTTAGAGAGCTGAAATTACACTGTCTCTACCACTGGTTAGATTGACTGCCCTCAGATTCTGGGAAATTAGTCTTTAAAGGACCAAGTAGACAAAAGGACTTTTGGGTCAGATGTGGTGGTTGATGCCTGTAGTCCCAGCTACTTGGGAGGCTAAGGCAGGAGGATTGCTTGAGCCCAGGAGTTTAAGGTTGCTGTGAGCTTGGCTGACTCCATGGCACTCTAGCCCGGCAACACAGCGAGACTCTGTCTCAATAAAAGAAAAAAGGACCTTTGAAGGCAGTTTTGAAAGATAGTTGCTACTCTGCCCATCCCCATCCCCTCCAAACTTACCATTTTAAAAACTTGCCCCTTTAATTATACCTGCACAAATTGGTGCATCTGTTTTATAGTATCATCTAGCTTCTTTACATCTTTTCTGGATTTAGATGGGGTATTAACACCTGTTGAGCTGCTCAAGCAAGGTAGAAGTAATAAAATGGAGGGGAAGAGGCAAGCCAAATATGTGACAGTTAACTTCTCTTGACTCTTAAGGTTTTGTGTAGACAGTAAGCTTTTGGAGGGCAAGAGATGTTTTATTCACCTCCTTATAGTGTCAGCTGAGTACGTATCATCGAGCACCAGGTACTATGCACCAGGCCCTGTGAGAGTTGCTGGAACTAGATGAATCAGCTGTATCTTTCCTAATTTAGGATTGACTTTAAACAATTCCAAGAAGTCCTTGGTCTATTTGTCTTACTATTCAGGTGAGCAAGTTTTAATGAAAGTTGGATCTGTCTTTTTCTTCTAAGGGCAACCGAGGCAAGCTGTTTGACTCCCCTTCCCTGTGTAGCACCAGTATTCGGTCAACACTGAAGAGACCAGAACGATCTCAAGAGGAGTCGCCACGTGGAAATACAAAGCGGAGGAAGAGCACGGCTGGGGCCAGCCCTGAAAAGGCAGCTAGTCCAGAGAAGGCCCAGGAGGTTAGTGAGGTTAGTTTTACAGGTTCCCTTTTTTTTTCCTTAATGTGAACCACATTTTTATTTGTTTATTTCTTGCATTTGAAGTACTCTTTTAGAACAATAAAGAGAAAATTTTCATAAAGCTTTAGGTAACTAAAGCAATTCTTGTTTCCAGGAGAAGTCTAGCAGGAAGATAGAGCATCTGTTCATTTCTCGTTGATCATTAATTAGCATTTCTTTGGGTGAGCTGTGGTTTTGTTGTTGTTGTTTTTTTTTTTTTGAGGCAGAGTGTTACTCTGTTGCCCAGGCTAGAGTGCCATGGCTTCAGCCTAGTTCACAGCAACCTCAAACTCCTGCCTCCCAAGTAGTTGGGACTACAGACATGCGCCATCCTGCTGGCTAATTTTTTTTATGTTTTTGTTTTTAGTTGTCCAGCTAATTTCTTTCCTTTTTTTTTTTTTTGGAGATGGGGGTCTCGCTTTTGCTCAGGCTAGTCTCGGCCTCCCAGAGTGCTAGGATTACAGGCGTGAGCCACCATGCCCAGCCTGGGTGAGCTGTCTTTGCACAATATTTTCATGGTTCCCCAGGCATAAGTCCTATGCTGCTCCTTCACGTTATTTATTTATCCTATGGCCTAAACACTCAAAACATATTGTATTAATACTTTATTTTTTAATTTTTTTTTGAGAACGAGTCTTGCTCTGTCACCCCAGCTGTAGAGCAATAGCATCATTGTTAGCTCACTGCAACCTCTTATAATATTAATACATTATTAGTCCCAGCTCATTGGTCCATTTTTACTAACTTGTTTTATATTTTGGCCTATGTTCATAGGTTTTCTGGTATTAAAACTATCCTTGCTTCCTGAAATACTATGTTTGGCTTATTTAGAATTGCTTTTATTTGTATGTTTTTTCTTTCATTATGTTGTCTTTATATTAAGTTTTGATATTAAGTATTATAAAATAAACTAGAGAACTGCCTGTGTTTTCTGTGGCATGGAAGTTTTGAATAAATCTCAGTCTTATTAAAAAATTAGATCACAGCTATGAAAATATCTAGGCCTGAAGTGTTGTTCTAAAAGAATATTTAATGGCTACATAGTGTTTCATTTTATGGCTATACTAGAAGTAATTGAATAAATCATCTTCTATACACTTAGAATTTCCCTTTTCCTGATTTTCCTTTTATTTTTCAAATTAAAAGTGGGATCATAGTTAAGGATAGAGACATTCATGAAAGTCTGCACTGTATACATGTCCAAAAATTGCCTTCTAGATTGCCTTCTAATTTATATTATATCTCAATATTTAAGGATGTTAATTTTCTTTTACTCTTGCCATATTAGAAATTGATTTCCTTATTTTATGTTTTTGTTTTTAGAGACAGGGTCTTACACTACATCACCCAGGCTAGAGTACATTGGCCCAATCATAACTCAATGTAACCGCAAACTCCTGGGCTTAAGGGATCCTCCCACCTCTGCCTCTCAAATAGCTGGGACTATAGGTGTGTGCCACCACACCCAACTAATTTCCATATTTTAAAACTTGTTTTTTTTTTAGCTTTTAATGACATTTCTTATGTATGTTTTGGTTTGTTTTCATATATTTTAATTTTTGGTATTTTTAAATTAATAGCTGAAATATTCCTATAAAGAGAAACTTAGACTAAACTCTTTGGTCACCCTTGGGAAAGACGGGTATGTGGATCTCTTTATTTGCCAGTTTTCCAAATAATGCCCTACCTAGCATCTTCCAAAGTTGACAGTTGAGGCTTGTGGGTTATGTTTTTGAATAATGATTATGAATTCATAGATTAAAACATTTAATGTATTTCTGTGTGTTACTTGTACTATCCTTTTTAATGCTCAAATTATCCCTTTCTTGACATTTGACTGCCTCTTCAGTTGGCTCCAGAGGTTTTTATTTTGTTATCAAAAAGGAACTTCTGGCCGGGTGCGGTGGCTCACACCTGTAATCCTAGCTCTCTGGGAGGCCGAGGCGGGCGGATCGCTCAAGATCAGGAGTTCGAAACCAACCTGAGCAAGAGCGAGACCCAGTCTCTACTATAAATAGAAAGAAATTAATTGGCCAACTAATATATATAGAAAAAATTAGCCGAGCATGGTGATGCATGCCTGTAGTCCCAGCTACTAGGGAGGCTGAGGTAGGAGGATCGCTTGAGCCCAGGAGTTTGAGGTTGCTGTGAGCCAGGCTGACTCCACGGCACTCACCTGGGCAACAAAGTGAGATTCTGTCTCAAAAAAAAAAATGAACTTCTTTTAGCCAGGTGCAGTGGTACATGTGTGTAGTCCCAGCTACTGGGGAAGCTGAGGTGGGGAGGATCTCTTGAGGCCTGCCTGGGCAACATAGCAAGACCCTATGTCTTAAAAATATAAACTTATTTTAACATACATATTTTAAATCATGCAAATAAGCATGTATCTTAGTTAAATCTTCACAAAATGAACACACCTCCCATAACTACTTCTCATGTTCAAGCCCATAACTACTTCCCATGTTCAAGAAGGAACACCAGGAGCTCCTCCCTGTGCCTTTCAAGATAACACTGAATCCGTAGCTTAGTTTTGCCTGTGTTTGAACCTTATATGCATGGCATTATACTGTATATATTTTTGTCTGATCTCTCTTGTTCAACATTATTTTTTTGGCAATCATCCAGACTGTTATGTATATATCAGGTTTTTTTCTTTTTCCTTTACTGTGTAATATTTCATTACATGAAACTAATACAGATTATTTATTCTATCGATTGATGTTTTGGTGGTTGTTTTGGCTATTATGAATAAAGCTGCTATAAACACTATTGTGTAATTTTTTTAATAGACATATGCTTTCATTTCTCATGGGTAAATACCTAGGAGTGTGATTGCTGAGTCCTAGGCTAGGCACATGGCTAGCTTTAGTAGACACTGCCGAATAGTTTCCCAGTGTGGTTATACTCACAGCAATGTATGAGAGTGCCATTTGCTCCATACCTTTACCAGTGTTTTGTGTTCATTTTTTAATTTTTTAAATTAGCTTGATTATGGTATATATTTCTTCAATTTCAACCATTCTGGTGAGTGTGTGGTAGCTCTGAGGTTTTTGTTTGTTTGTTTGTTTGTTTTGGTTTTTTTGAGACAGAGTCTTGCTCTGTTGCCTGGCGTTAGCCTAGCTCACAGCAACCTCAAACTCCTGGGCTCTTGCAATCCTTCTGCCTCAGCCTCCCGAGTAGCTGGGACTACAAGCGTGCGCCACCATGCCTGGCTAATTTTTCTATATATTTTTAGTTGGCCAATTAATTTCTTTCTATTTTTAGTAGAGATGGGATCTTGCTCTTGGTCAGGCTGGTCTCAAACTCCTGACCTTGAGCGATCCTCCCACCTTAGCCTCCCAATAGTGCAAGGATTACACGCCCGGCCTCTCTGGTTTTTTTTTTAACTTAGCCCTAATTTTAACCTTCCATTTTAAAATACAGGGAGTGACTTGGTTTCAGAGTAATCCAGAAATAATTCCTGATTGAATCAAATAAGAAAAATTTATTGATCGCTAAATATAGACATTAGCATTTCAGACTCCTCGTGACATGCTCCAGGTGAACGTTTTCAGAAGTCCTGTTCAGAATACTGGCCTCATTCTCCACCTTCGGTTTGTTACAGATTCCACATCAGTCTTTATCCCTGGCATCTTCCCCAAAAGGGACCATTGAGAACATTTTGGATAATGACCCAAGGGACCTTATAGGAGACTTCTCCAAGGTAATTGCAGCAGATGGAAACAAAGCTACTCTGGCTGAGTGATGCAGGGTAAAGGGTTTCTAGAACCCCACTCAGCCTTCCTCCTTCCCCAAGGTAGTTCCTAGGATGCCTCCAAAGAGACAGTTTTATTTTATTTTTTTTTTTTTCTTTTCCCCCTGTTTAAAAAGTTTGACAAAGAGACAGTTTTAAAACGTTGACAATAGGGAAGCCAACTTCGTTTCTCATGATCAGGTGTATATTGATGTCTATGAGATTGTAGCTAATCAGTGGTGTCAGGTGGCGAGCTGCAGCCACCACCCCGATCCAACCCAAACCCAAAGACCAAACTCTCTGGCAACCGTACTTGGTGCTTTTTTTGTTTTTTGTTTTGTTTTTGAGACAGAGTCTCACTCTGTTACCCTGTATAGGATGCAATGGCATCATTGTAACTCACAGCAACCTCAAACTCCTGGGCTCAAGCAATCCTTTTGCCTCAGCCTCCCAAGTAGCTGGGAGGGACTACGGGCTCAAGCCACATCATCCAGCTAATTTTTCTATTTTTAGTACAGACAGGGTCTTATTCTTGCTCAGGCTGGTCTTGAACTCCTGAGCTCAAGCAATCCTCCTACCTCTGCCTCCCAGAGTGCTAGGATTATAGGTGTGAGCCACTGTACCCAGCCTAGTTTTTCTATTCTTTTGTAGAAATGGGGTCTTTCCATGTTGCCCTGGCTGGTCTCAAACTCCTGTGCTCAAGTGATCCTCCTGTCTCAACCTCCCAAGTAGCTGGGATTACAGGTGTGTGCCACTGCACCCAGCTGTGTTCCTAATTATAAAGTAATGCAGCATAGCATAAGAAGCAAAAATAAACCTATAACCTCATACAAATCTGTATGTTAAAAAGGTTATCTTAGAAGATCTAGTGTAGAGACTGAATTTCTCCATTGTCCAGAAAAGCTTGGCCTTTGAGGGAAAGGGCCCTCTTCAGAATATATGCTAACAGAAAGCGTTGGCTACCTTTAAGCTCTGCCGAAATACAAGGCTGAGAACGGGGAATGTGTCAGTAGCAGTTTGTTTAGTCACATTTTGACTTGAAAATTACCAGAGCAGTCTTTTATTCATTAATTTAGCTAACAGTTATTGAAACACTTGTTATATGTTTGGCAAAGATTCCAAAATGAGACCTAGTACCTTCCCTCAAAGGTACTGATTGAGGAGGTAAGACGTGAAGCAGGTGTGCCATATGGTAGATTGAAGTCAATGTCAGTGAAGTGTAAGCAGCAGGCTGCTTACACCGAGAAATAAAAGGGGGTTTGTCTCAGCTAGGGATTTGGTGAAGGTGTGGGCCTGCGCCACTGACATTTCATTTCTTACCACCACCCCTCCCCCCGCAAACACAAGTGGGCCATTGGTATTTCAGCCAGATGAATATTGAAGTAACAGGGATTCTGAAGGGAAAAACAAGCAAAGACCCAAGTGTGTCCTTGCTTTTGGAACCTTCAACCTGAATTGAAGCTACTGGTTGTTTGTCTTTATGGCCCTGTGTGGCCATGGGGGTGGATGAGCTCTTTACTCAGCCAGTTGTCCTAATGCATGATTGTTGATGTGCCCATCTTCCTCCTCAAGGCTGGGCCAGGTCTCTTTTCCTTCCCCAGGGTCTAGCACCATGCTGTATATAGCAGATGTTTAGTAAATGAATGAAGTGCATTCCCCCACTGTATTTAAGTGCTATTCATAGTCTAGCTACTGAGATGAGGATTCTTGACAAAAGCAGAAGGAAAGGGAAATTACCTGAGGATTCTTCATTCAAATCTGGCTTACTAGCAGCATAATCTTGGAGAAGATGCTAGAAATGGAGATAATAATATACCTTATTGATTTGTGAGAAAACATTTTTTTTAAGCTGCCTCCTACCAACAGGCAAGCAGTATAAATATATAACCATAAATATATAGGCTTTCAGATTCTCTAAATATCTTTTTTTCCTCTTTTCAAGGGTTATCTCTTTCATACAGTCACTGGGAAACATCAGGATTTAAAATACATCTCTCCAGAAATTGTAAGTCATCCTTTTGGAACCTATCACACATGGGGTATTTAAATCTAGTTCCTAACGGTCAAAGTTGATTCGCCTTGGCTTCTCTCCACAGATGGCATCTGTTCTGAATGGCAAATTTGCCAACCTCATTAAAGAATTTGTCATCATTGACTGCCGATACCCATATGAATATGAGGGAGGCCACATCAAGGTATGGATTCCTTAGACTTGCTGTCTTGGGAGGCAACGAAGGAGCCCTAGACAGGATGTGTGATTTTAAAGGTGAACATTGTGACATTTGGCTGCTTAGGTTATATAGCTAGTTATGAGAATTTTAAAACAAGACAGTGATTTTAGAAGGCATTTCATTCCTGCTGTTCTGAATGAACGTACCATGGTCTGTACTACACTACCACTTTGTGCTATAGATGTTCTTTCTGTTCTGTCCCTCACAGTATCCCCATCAAAGGCATTTCTAGGTGGTACCACTGGTGTTTAAGCCATTCAAAGGAACCAGAAAAGGTTTTATAGCACTTAAGAGGCTTGGGTTCAAATGTTTGAACATCTCAGAACTCCTGACTAGGAGAAGCCAGTCTCTGGCAATATACTCCAGAGTCTATGCCAGGCTTAGCAATGCCTCCTAAGCTGGTTGTTCAGTCCTGCTGCCTGGTGGAGGGGTATGTTGGGACACATGTTCCCAAGGAGAAAGGAACTGATCATGGCATTTTAATCTTTTACCCAATAAAATAGTGGTCAGGAGGTGCTTTAAATACAATGTTAGTGTTGGCCCCGCTGTCTTACTGCTTTTCAAAATCCCAAAATTTACAACTGCTACTCATAAAGTGCAGCATAGTCATATTGAGTTGCCCATTTCCAATCCCCATGTGGGTTATGGGTTACTGCTCTATCAATGTATACAGATAAAGCTCCATTTGAGATTCAGGTGCCAGGTGGTCTGCTGGGCTATTCAGCCAGAAGATCTGCAAAATCACAAACTGGTCTTATGGTCTTAAAGATCACTTTCACTGAATTAGTACTTTAAGTGTGAAACATGCAGGGGCCAAGAGTCTCTGGTGCCTCCACAGGGTGCGGTAAACTTGCACATGGAAGAAGAGGTTGAAGACTTCTTACTCAAGAAGCCCATTGTACCTACTGATGGCAAGCGTGTCATCGTTGTGTTCCACTGCGAGTTTTCTTCTGAGAGAGGTCCCCGCATGTGAGTGGTACACAGAACTGGACTCTGGGACAGAAGTCCCATGACACTTTTGTGGGACATGGTGGTGTATGGCTTACATTTGGAGCATATTTTAGCATATTGAGCATATTCTTACACATCACAAGTCATTTTCATGGCTCAGCCATGTGACACATAATTTCATGGTTTTATAGAAGTACAAATTCATGCATAACATTTTTCCAAATTCTTATCCATTCAGCAGTTGATTGATTTCATGAAGTTTCCTTGAGTGTAATTTATAGTTATTTTGTTTTTTGTTTTTGAAACAGAATCTTGCTCTGTCACCTGGGCTAGACCCATGGTGTCAGCCTAGCTCACTGTAGCCTCAAACTCCTGGGCTCAAGCAGTCCTCCTGCCTCAGCCTCCTGAGTAGCTTTCACTATAAGCTCGAGCCACGTCACTTAGCTAATTTTTCTATTTTTAGTAGACACCAAGTCTTGCTCTTGCTCAGGCTTATCTCGAACTTCTGACCTCAAGTCATCCTCCTGCCTCTGCCTCCCAGAATGCTAGGATTATAGGCATGAACCACCACGCCTAGCCTAGTTTATAGTTCTTGACCTAACAGTTTCAGGTGCAAAGGATTTTCAGGCTTTTCAGAGCAGCCCTGTCTGTGGTCTGTGATGCCAGTGTTGCCCATGTAGTATCCCCCATGGATTTAGCCTCTGCATCATCATGCCTGCTCCTGAGTGGCTCTCTGGTAGTCTTCTCTTTTTATTTTTAAGAGACAGGGTCTCACTCTATTGCCCAGGCTGGAACGCAGTGGCGTTGTTGTAACTCACTGCAGCCTCAAACTCTTGGACTCAAGCAATTCTGGCTCAGACTCCCAAGTAGCTGGGACTGCAGGTGCACACCACCATGCCTCGCTAATTTTCTGTAGACAGAGACAGGGTCTGTGTTGCACAGGTTGGTCTCAAATACCTGGCCTCAAGGAATCCTCCCACCTGGGCCTCTAAAATACTGGGATTACAGGCATGAACCACCAGGCGTCCAAGTGGTTGTTATTTATGGAAATGACAGAGAAGTGTAAAGTTCTCACTTGGCAAAGACTTGGACTTTTACAGCAAGGGTTGGGCAGTAAAAAGCCACCAGCCAGATGAGGATATCAGGGAAGAGCATTCAGTCTAGACATAGGACACAAGTGGGTATCATGAGGCAACAGCAAGCTCAGCCTGTTTAAAAGCCTCAAGGAGAGGCTGGGCGTGGTGGCTCACGCCTGTAATCCTAGTACTCTGGGAGGCCGAGGTGGGCAGATCGCTCAAGATCAGGAGTTCAAAACCAGCCTGAGCAAGAGTGAGACCCTGACTTTACTAAAAGTACAAAGAAATTAATTGGCCAACTAAAAATATACAGAAAAAATTAGCCGGGCATGGTGGCGCATGCCTGGAGTCCCAGCTACTCGGGAGGCTGAGGCAGGAGGATTGCTTGAGCCCAGGAGTTTGAGGTTGCTGTGAGCTAGGTTGACGCCACGGCACTCTAGCCAGGGCAACAGAGTGAGACTCTGTCTCACACACTCACACACACACACACACAAAAAAGCCTCAAGGAGAAAAAAAATCCCACTTAGATAGAAGGAGACTGGTCAGGGAAGGCAGGGGAGGAAAATGCAGGGGGAAGCTGGCTCAGAAGCGATTGCTTGCTGCAGGTGGTGGTGGTGACGACCCTGGGCAGGAGTCAGATCTAGGACTATTTAATTTGGAGAAAGGAACATTGGGAAAGAGACCATCTGCTAGTGCTAGGTGTGAACACCGTTCACATGGTCAAGAACTCACAATTCAGCACTGATTGCTTCCAAGAATAAATGTAAAGTTGGAAGGATATATAAGGAGTATTTACACCACAGTCACTGCTTTTACTGTGTTGTCTTTATGTTTCCCCATATTGGAAGAGCTAACCTTGCTTTGGCCTTCCTTCCCCTTTACTAGGTGCCGGTATGTGAGAGAGAGAGATCGGCTTGGTAATGAATACCCCAAACTCCACTACCCTGAGCTGTATGTCCTGAAGGGGGGATACAAGGAGTTCTTCCTGAAATGCCAGGTAAGACTGGGTCTCTGGAAAGCATTCCCCTGCCCCCTAAAATGGTGGACCAGTGGATCTGACTGGTGGTCTTGGCGATTTCTTGCCAGGACTATGGGGGAAAGTGAGTGTCTGCTCTGCACAAAGAAGGCCCCTGTAGAACCTGCTGCCCAGATCTGCATTGCTGCTCCCAGCCTTGTGCCCAGGGCAGGGAGGGAGCCTGGTTGCAGGTGTGAGGCAGGTGTACCCCAACCTTATCCTCTCTTGTCCCCACAGTCTCACTGTGAGCCTCCCAGCTACCGACCCATGCACCACGAGGACTTTAAAGAAGACCTCAAGAAGTTCCGCACCAAAAGCCGGACCTGGGCAGGAGAAAAGAGCAAAAGGGAAATGTACAGTCGTTTGAAGAAGCTCTGAGGGCAGTGGTGCCAGACAACAGCAGCCTGAGCTTCCCTCTGTACACCATGTCCCCTCTTTGCTGCAGAGAAACTTGAGCAAAGGGGCCAGCTGTGTGACATTTGGAGAGGAAGCCTGGGACTTCCATGCCTTAAACCTACCTCCCACACTCCCAAGGTTGGAGCCCAGGGCATCCTGCTGGCTGTGCCTCTCCTGTCCTTGTAAGACCTCCTTCCCCATCAGGACTATCTACCAAGGTTGTCACATGCCGTGGTGAGGTTCTGAGCACCACGTCAAGCTGTTCTACCCATAGTGGGATGAAGCAGCTGGGGCCTTGTTGGGCTCTGGCCTTCTCTTGTGAGGGAAGAGAGAGAGAGAAGGGAATACAGAGAAGTGACAGAAAGAAATGCTGCTGGCCAAGTATCAAAGACAGCCTGGGAAGGAAAGGCCTTTGTGGGATAATCCGTATCTTTAATTTATTCAACTTCATCAATCACTTTATTTTATTTTTGTTTCTTATTATTTTTTTTGAACTCTTGAGACTTTTCCTTTACTGCTTTATTAGGTCAAAATACTGCCATTCTAGGTAGGGTTTTATCATCCCAGGGACTACCTCGGCTTTTAATTAAAAAAAAAAGTGGGGGGTGGGGTGAGAAAAGGCAAACCTGCTGCTATATAAAGCCAGGAGCTGAGGTACTGGTGGGAGTGGGCACTGGGCTCGGGCTTGGCTACAGAGTATAAGCTAAACCTCCCAGACCTACCTCCGGCCATCAAGATCTATTTGGGGGGAGGTGTGTCCCTGCTCCTCCTCATCCCGGTTCCCTGTGATGTTGGCTGGTATAGGAGTCAGACTCAGGAAAGCACTTCAGGCAGCTTCCCTTGGGCCACCCCCAAGTTGGTGTTGGAATGTTACTAGTGGGTTGCCCAGGCTAGGGGGTAGGAATGGGTGGGCTCTGCAGGATGAGGGAAGGGCATATCCACTGAGTGTCCTCCTTCTATTATTGACACTCTATCTTTAATTTTAATTTTTAAAAAAATAGTCATTTTATGAGTCAAGGAGTATCAAATCAGTGTTGGATGGGCCACCCAAGGGTGGGGAGAGGGGCTGGAAGCCGTGCACATTAGAAGGGAGTGGGTGCTGGCATAGAGATGACTGTATAGAATGTTTCTCACAAGGGAACATGGTAGATTTTGAAGGTAAGACTTTCTGGGTTTATCATGTTTGAATTTGAAGGACAGGGAGTGGTGAATCATCACCAGTTGCCCCCTTATCTAGCCCCATGGAAGTGGGAGTCTCAAAGGAGCGCCTCATCCAAGGAGCTAGGGCTGACTGAATTGATTATAGATAGGCCTGTCGCAGCGCCTGCCCATCCCCACTCTGCGACACCTGCCTCCTTACCATCGTTGCTCCATTGAGGTGTGGCCAGGTTTTTCTTATAACAAGAGTCAGTCTCCCCTTTTACCTCGGCTTTCTATTCTGGGGTTGGGGAGGGAATCAGTGGTATTGGAGATGACTAGTTATGTTCTGGGTTTGAGTTGCATTTGGCTAGAAAACAATCTTGTTGGAAAAAGTATGTTGGGAGAAGGCCTCTTACCCCACACACTGAGACAGATTCCAGTGGGTCTCTAATCTTTGTAGGGATTCTGTCGGTTCAATGCCTAAAAAGAGAGGTGGGATGGCCTTCAAATTGTACCAGCTTAGCTAGCATTGCAGGCTCTGAAAATAAAAATCTTGAACCCATGCTCTCTGCCTAGTTTTTGATATATTTAAAGGGAATTGTGTTTCCCTTTAAGGTTCTAGGACGACACTTGATTAAAACCAGTCAAGTTTGGGGCAGCCATATTTCCTCAAGAGGCCAAAGGACTTGGCTTCAGGGATGGCTGGAACAAGCTCCCATTATTACCCTGAATCCAAAAAACAGGCTTGTGGTTCAGATGAATTTCTGAGATAAAATGACCAAGTTTGTTAAAAGTGTGCCTGGACTGCTGGCATTTCCTTTTAAGATCCATTAATTCATTTAATGGATAAAGCACTTGGCCAAAGGAGGGAGCTTAAAAAGGCAATAAGAGGCTGGGCATGGTGGCTCACACCTGTAATCCTAGCATTTGGGGAGGCCAAGGCAGGAGGATTGCAAAAAGTAGAAAAATTAGCTGGACATGGTGGTGCCTGCTTGTAGTCTGTCCCAGCTTGTCAGGAGGCTGAGGCAGGAGGATCACTTGAGCTCAGGAGTTGGAGGTTGCAGTGAGCTATGATGATAACCACAGCACTCTAGCCAGGCAACAGAGCAAGACTCTGTCTCAAAAAAAATAAATAAAAAGTAGTGTGAGGCAGTACAGCCACAGCAGGATGAAGGATGGACGATGGTGAGGAATGATAATTATAAGTCCAGCAGAAGCTGTGGACAGGGAGAGAAGGGCGTTAGGCACCAGGATCTGGTGATGGATGGATTGGTAGGCAGGAGTGAGGGAGAGAGGTGGATCCAGGTTGGTGTGCCGGCTCCTAACCTGAGGAATGGGGCAAACTGTTGGCACTCAGAGCAAGAAATACAGGAGGAAAGGAAATATTAAAAAAACTCAAGTTGAGAGATTTTATAAAATTTCTGGACTGTATTCATAATTATCAGTGTCATATGACAAAGGCCCAGAGACTGTTTTAGATTAAAGGAAACTGAAGAGACATGACAACTAAATGAAATATGTGATCTTGGATGGGATCCTGGACCAGCCCTCTCCCCAAAAAGTGTACCTTTTTGGGGACAACTGACGAAATATGAATTGATGAGGTAAAATTGTCTCAATGTTAAGTTTCCTGAATTTGATAATTATATTGCAGTTATATACAAGAATATCCTTATTCTAAGGAAATAACATACTGAAACATTAGAGATTAAGGATTATGATGCAACCTACTTCCAAATGGTTTAATAAAAGAAACAATATGTGTGTGAGAGAGAAGAAAAGGAGAAAGCAAATCGGGCAAAATATTAAAAAGTTAAAATGTATGACTCTTGGCAAAGGTTATAAGGGAGGTTTTTGTACTATTCTTGCAACTTTTAGCTTGAAATTATTTCAAAAGAAGACATTAAAGGGGGCGGGGGACTGGAGTGCTGAGCTCCTGTCTGGACAGGGAATTTGGACAGTGGACGCCTGGGTGGTCCGGGGATAAATGTGTCAAATGCTCCAGAGAAATATCCAGGCTGGTGACAGTAACTTGTCCCAAGTACCCAAATGGCAGAGGAAGGGACGGTGTAAAAGAGAAGGAAGCGGAGGGAGGCTGGAAAGCAGGAAGCCAGGCAGGGGGAGAAAGAGGGGTCACAGGCAGGCCAGGCATTCCCGTGTGTGTGTGTGTGTGTGTGTGTGTGTGTGTGTGTGTGTGTGTGTGTACGCAGGTAGGGAAGACAAAGCCCCACTGGTGAGTCCTATGTCACTGAAGACCTTGGGGAACAAAGGCTGTCTACACTAGGGTAGGAGTGGAGGAGGGACCGGGAGGGGAGGCAGAAGCAGCAGCAGGGGCAAACTGAGTGCCCTCAGCATTCTCAGCCTCTATGTGACTGGTGGGCAGGGCTGGGAGTGGGGATTACCTTGATGATTCTGAGACCTTAAGGCCTTGGGCATTCTGATTTCCAAGCAATGACTCCTGGAAGTTGCGCAAAACCCAGTCCAGAGCCCTGTTTGCACACTTCCAGAAATGGGGAGGCAGTCCCTTCCAGTGATGGACAGAGCTCTTCTTCAGGCAAAGTGAAATCAGCCCTCCTGGCCCCTCCCCCTCCCCCGCAGGCCTCCTTTGTCCTCTCGTTTCCCTCGGCTGCCAGAGGGCTGGCCGGGCTTGCGGCCAAGATTGCTGCAATGGCCATGGTCGGCCACCAGATGGCGGTGGTACCCCAGGTTAGTTTCCTCGGACATCCCTGCCTCCTCACTCCCCTTCCCCAGAGCTAACTGGGAGGAGCTGGGGCCTCTACAGAAGCCTCCCATCCCTTGCCCTGGCCGGGCTCCAGCTGCTTTTAACAGCACTTTGCCTGCCTTGAGTGCTGGCAAAGCTGTAGCTGTTCTTTGTCCAAGCTACGGTTCCCAGTGGCCTAGTCCAATCATGTGTACCACAATGCAAGGGCACCAAAAGCGGGGAAAAAGAAGGGAGTCAGGTTGGCTTTTTTTTTTGAGACACTCAGTTGCCCACACTGGATTAGTGTCGTCATCATAGCTCACTGTAACCTCAAATTCCTGGTCTCAAGCCATCCTCCCAACTAGGCCCCCTAAACTACTAAGATTACAGGCATGAACCACTGCTCCTGGCTCAGATTGAATTATTAGTATGTTTTATATATATATATCTATATATTTTTTTTTTTTTTTTTGAGACAGAGTCTCGCTTTGTTGCCCAGGCTAGAGTGAGTGCCGTGGCGTCAGCCTAGCTCACAGCAACCTCAAACTCCTGGGCTCAAGCGATCCTTCTGCCTCAGCCTCCCGAGTAGCTGGGACTACAGGCATGCGCCACCATGCCCAGCTAATTTTTTGTATATATTTTTAGTTGGCCAATTTCTTTCTATTTTTAGTGGAGACGGAGTCTCGTTGTTGCTCAGGCTGGTTTCGAACTCTTGACCTTGAGCGATCCTCCCACGTTGGCCTCCCGGAGTGCTAGGATTACAGGCGTGAGCCACCTCGCCTGGCCAGTATGTTATATCTTTAATAAATGCATCATTACGGTCATCAGGGGAAAACATCAGATATTTCTTCAGTTTCTTTACACTTCATTTGGGGTTTATTCTGAATGGCATAGTGTAGTGTCCACATCATCTTCTCAAACCCCTTTCCCCAGTGGGATGGTCCTGACCACTTGCTAGATCTGATCAAGAAATAAGAAGCTGGGCATGGTAGCTCACACCTGTAATTCCAGCACTTTGGGAGGCCAAGGCAGGAGGATCTCTCTCCTTTTTTTTTTTTTTTTTTGAGACAGAGTCTCACTCTGTTGCCCAGGCTAGAGTGAGTGCCGTGGTGTCAGCCTAGCTCACAGCAACCTCAAACTCCTGGCTCAAGCAATCCTGCTGCCTCAGCCTCCCGAGTAGCTGGGACTACAGGCATGTGCCATCATGCCTGGCTAATCTATATATATTAGTTGGCCAATTAATTTCTTTCTATTTATAGTAGAGACAGGGTCTTGCTCTTGCTCAGGCTGGTTTCGAACTCTTGACCTTGAGCAATCTTCCCAACTCAGCCTCCCAGAGTGCTAGGATTACAGGCGTGAGCCACCGTGCCCGGCCCCAGGAGGATCTCTTGAGGCCAGGAGTTCAAGACCAGCTTGGGCAACATAGCAAGACCCTATCTCTACAAAAAATTTAAAATTTTAGCCAGATGTGGTGGCATGCATCAGTAGTCCTAGCTACTCAGGAGGCTGAGGCAGGAGGATCCCTTGAGCACAGAAGTTGGAGGTTACAGTGAGCTATGATTGCATCACTACACCCCAGCCTGGGCAACAGAACGAGACCCTGTCTCTAGACAAAGAAAAAGGAAAAGAAATAAGAAAGCATGCATTCTAATTCTGACTCTGCCTCTAACCAGCTGTGTGACCCTAAGCAGAACGCTTAACTTCTCTGGACCTCAGAGATCCCATCCATAAAGGATTGGCTTAAGCAACACCCACTCCCCTCCATCCTAGGACTTCTCTCCCATTCCTGTGCACTTGTCCTTTTGGGCCTTCTCACCTTTGCCAACTCCTCTGGGGAATGCCCTTCTTTTTCCACAGAACTTTCATTCACTTTTGTAAAAATAAATAATTGTTGAAATTTAAAACTCAATTGATGTGTTAAACTACAGCTTAGATACAACTGAAGAGAATTAGAATTAATGCACTGGAGAAATATATTAATAATAGAAAATTATTTATAGTGCAACAATGAGACCTGTACTTACCGTACTTATCAGGAAAGTGTGAAAGAGGTAGAAAGAAAGAGACAGAACAAAATGAAAAGATCTAACTACATCCAACTTGAATCCCAGAGGAAATAATAGAATAGAGGAAAGAAAATTTTGAAAGAAAGAATGGCCAATAAAAAACTTGAATGCACAAAATCAATAAGCCCCATGAATTCCAAACAGAGTAAATAAGAAGAAATTCACAGCTGGGCACGTAATGAGGTTAGAATACCAAAGACACGGGATCTTTAGTACACACCAAACAGAAGGCCAGAGGACTTACACAGAAGCCACGCTTAGCAGCTGCTCAAGCAGCAACAATGGAAAGCTAACGCAACAACGTGGGAATGCACGCAAGTCTCACTCTCCGCTCACCTTTCTTCCTAATTCCATGTCCCTCTGAAGAGATAGCCCATATTAAACTTGATACGAACCTTCCAGACATTTTCTCTGCATATATAAATATATGTGGGTATATAAATATGGATAGGTGTCATCTATCTTTAGATATTGCTATGGTTTGAGTGTTTGTCCCCTCCAAACTCATGTCGAAATTTAATTGATGTGGACGGGGAGGGCCCAAGGTGGGAAGGGGCAGGGGAAAAAAAAGAAAAAAAAAGCCGGGCGCGGTGGCTCACGCCTGTAATCCTAGCTCTCTGGGAGGCTGAGACGGGCGGATTGCTCAAGGTCAGGAGTTCGAAACCAGCCTGAGCAAGAGTGAGACTCCGTCTCTACTATAAACAGAAAGAAATTAATTGGCCAACTAATATATATACAAAAAATTAGCTGGGCATGGTGGCGCATGCCTGTAGTCCCAGCTACTCGGGAGGCTGA